CTGTGGGGAATCTATGCATGAAGCCGACTTGGTCATAGTGGATGATGGTTCTGATGTGTTCTTGGATTCGATTTGCTAGTATTTTATTTATTATTTTTGCATCAATGTTCATGAGAGAGATTGGTCTGTAATTCTCTTTCTTAGTATTGTCTTTCTGTAGTTTGGGTATCTGGGTAATTGTAGCCTCATAAAAAGAGTTTGGCAATGTTCCCTCTGTTTCTATTGTGTGGAATAATTTGAGGAGTATTGGTATTAGTTCCTCTTTGAAAGTCTTGTAGAATTCTGAGCTGAAACCATCTGGTCCTGGGCTTTTTTTTGGTTGGGAGACTTTTGATGACTGTTTCTGTTTCTTCAACAGTTCTGTTTAATTTGCTTATCTGGTCTAGACTTAATTTTGGTAAGTGATATTTATCAAGAAAGTTGTCCATTTCCTTTAAGTTTTCCAATTTTGTGGAGTACAGGTTTTCAAAATATGACCTGATGATCCTCTGGATTTCCTCCGTGTCTGTTGTTATGTCTCCTTTTCATTTCTGATTTTGTTAATTTGGATATTCTCTCTCTGCCTTTTGGTTAGTTTGGATAAAGGTTTGTCTATTTTGTTGATTTACTCGAAGAACCAACTCTTTGTCTCATTGATTCTTTGTATTGTTTTCTTTGTTTCTATTTTTTTGATTTCAGCTCTCAATTTGATTATTTCCTGTGGTCTACTTCTCTTAGGTGAGTTTGCTTCTTTTTGTTCTAAAGTTTTCAAATGTTCTCTTAATTCACTAGTGTGGGATTTTTCCAGCTTCTTTATGTAGGCATTTGGTGCTATGAACTTGCCTCTTAACACTGCCTTCATTGTGTCCCATAAATTTGGGTATGTTGTGTGGTCATTTTCATTGAATTTTAGGAAGTCTTTAATTTATCCCTTTATTTCTTCCTTGACCCATTGATGATTCAGGTGAGCATTGTTTAATTTCCATGTGTTGTGGGTTTTCTGGAAATAGTATTGCTGTTGATTTTTAGTTTTATAGCATGGTGATCTGATAAGGTACATTGGGTTATTGCAATTTTTTTGTATTTGTTGAGGTTTGTTTTGTTACCAAGTATGTGGGCAATTTTTGAGAAGGTTCCATGAGGTGCTGAGAAGAAGGTATATTCTTTTCTGTTTGGATGGACTGTTCTATAGATGCCTGTTAAGTTCATTTGAGTCATAACATCTGTCAGTTCTCTTCTTTCTCTGTTCATTTTTTGTCTGATTGACCTGTCCAGTGGTGAGAGGGGAGTGTTGACGACTCCCACTATTAGTGTGTGGGGTTAATATGTGATTTAAGTTTTAGAAGTGTTTCTTTGACATATGAGGGTGCCCTTGTATTTGGGGCATAAATGCTCAGTATTGAAATTTCCTCTTGATGAATTTTTCCTGTGACTAATATGAAATGCCCTTCTTTTTCTCTTTTTGATTGATTTTAGTTTGAAGTCTATTTTGTTAGATATTAGGGTAGCTACACCCGCTTGTTTCTTAGGTCCATTTGATTGGTAATTTTTCCCCAACCTTTTACTCTGAGATGATGTCTGTCTTTGAGGTTGAGATGCATTTTTTTTGTATGCAGAAGAGGGATGGATTCTGTTTTTGTTTCCAGTCTGTTAGCCTGTGCCTTTTTATGATTGAGTTGAGTCCATTTCCATTAAGGGATATTAATGACCAGTGGTTGCTATCTCCTGTTAATTGAGTTTTCAGGTTGGTGATGTTAATTTGCATTTTTTCCTTCGGGATTTGCTGTAATGAGATCATCGGTTGTCTGTGTTTTTATTGGTGTAGCCATCTTCCTTGGGTTGGAGTTTTCCTTCTAGTATTTTGTGTAGGGCTGGGTTTGTGGCTAGGTATTGGTGAAATCTAGATTTGTCATGGAATACCTTGTCTTGTCCTTCTATGGTGATCGACAGTTTTGCTGGGTATAGTAATCTGGGCTGGCATCTGTGGTCTCTTAATGTCTGCATAATGCTTGACCATGACCTTCTGACTTTCACTGTCTCCACTGAGAAGTCAGAATTCTGATAGGTCTACCTTTATATGTTACTTGGCCTTTTTCCTTTGCAGCTCTTAATATTCTTTCTTTACTCTGTATGTTTAGTGTTTTGATTATTATGTGGCAAGAGGACTTTATTTTTGGATCCAGTTTATTTGGTGTTCTGTAAGCTTCTTGTATCTTCATAGGCATATCTTTCTTTAGGTGGTGAATGTTTTCTTCTATGATTTTGTTAAATAAATTTTCCGTGCCTTTGAGTTGAACTTCTCCTTCTATACCTATTATTCTAAGATTTGACCTTTTTATGGTATCCCATATTTCATGGATATTTTGGGTTAAACTTTTGTTAGATTTAATGTTTCCTTTAACTGATGAGTCTATTTCCTCTATTTTATCTTCAGTGCTTGAGATTCTCTCTTCCATTTCTTGTATTCTGTTGTTCATGCTTGCATTTGTCGCTCCTGATCTTTTTCTCATGATTTCTGTTTCTATCATTCCTTTGGCTGTGTTTTCTTTATTTTTTCTACCTCAGTTTTCAAATCCTGAATAGCTTCTTTTAATGTTTGAGTTCTTTTTCTTGGTTTTCTTTCAGTGATTTGCTGATATCTTCCAATTTTTTGTTTGTTTTTTCCTCCATTTCTTTAAGATAATTTCTCATTTCATCTTTAAGAATTTGAAACATTCTCTTGAGGTTATTTTTTAGATCATTTTCTTCTGGTTCATCCATATTTGGTTGTTCAGGTCTTGCAGTTGTAGGGTCTTCAGGTTTTACTGGTATTGTGTTGCTCTTTGTGGTATAGCATGTGATCTTACCTTTTCTACTCATCTTTTCCTCTAATAGGTGTGGAAGGGAGATGTGGGTGTCACAGACTGAAAGGGTCAGAGCCCCACAGAGGATACAGCAGGCTAGAAGGAAGCACCAGCTGAGGAATTGAACGCTGGAATTTGGACCAAATTCACAATGATCCATACATACCTTAGGAGGCTTAGATCAGCGGACATGTAGGGGAGACAGGTGTGTGCTGAGCACACAGCAGAAGGGTCAAACCTTTGTCACTACCCCTTCCCTGCCCCACCCCCACCCCCCGCCCAGGTCTGACTGGGACTTCCACATTGACACAGTGTGGGCAGGGAGACCAGACAGAAACAAACAGGGCTTGGAGCAAAGGAAAATAAGGGGAAGGGAACTTTTTATGTTCCTCCGATTGCTTGTTTAGTGGCATATTGAGGGTAGATTTGACTGGAAAGGGTAAGTCGGAGGAGAGCCTTTAAAAGACAGTCCATGGGGAGCTAGGAGATGGATGATGCAGTATCCATAGGTGAGGTAGAGAGAGGTCCAGAGCCTGAAGTCCAAGGCGTCCGAAGGACCCATGGAGGACAGAATAAAGAAGGCATGAGTGAAAGAGTGGGTCGTCACCTTCACAGTCCGAGAGCCAGGGAGAAAAGTCCAATGGGACATGGTTGAGGGCAAAAACTCAAAAAATGAAGCCTCACACATGGGAACTGGGGCCTACATCTGCTAGAGACTCGGGGAAGCATTTATGCTGTCTGAGGGAGTTCACTCACCAATTGTCGGTGATAGATAGAAGTCAAAGCAACTGATGGACCAGAAAGTGGATCTGTTGTGGGAGGAGCAGGTGGGAGGGTCCCAGTGTGGCTCAGACTGCAGTTGCACGGGTGCGCACGCATCAGGAGAGCCTTCTGGGTCTTTGGCACCAATGTTTGGATAATGGCAGGAGAAGGGATTTAAAGGTTATCCCAACCCTTTTTGTTTCTCACAAAAATTCATTTTTGCGTTTGTGTTTGTGTATGCACGCACGAGTGCACATGTGTGTACACAATCTACAGTGCACACGTGGAGGTCAGAGGACAGCTTGTGGCAGTTCTTCCCTTCAATGTGGGGTCTGTGGGATCTGGTGCGGGGTGTCAGGCATGGTGGCAAGCACCTTCACCTGCTGAGTCCTTTGCTTGTCCTCATCACTCATAAGACTTTTTTGTTGTTGTTTTGGGGTTTTTTTGTTTTGTTTTTTTTGAGACAGGGTTTCTTTGTGTAGTAGTCCTGGCTGTCCTGGAACTTGCTCTGTAGACCAGGCTAGCCACTAACTCAGAGACCCACCTGCCTCTGCCTCCTGAGTGCTGGGATTAAAGGTGTGTGCCACCACCACCTGGCTAACCTACTATTGTTAGACTTTTAATTACTTTTGCTGTTGATTTTTTAAAGCAGTGTTTCATGTGGCCTAGGCTGTCCTTGAACTTGCTCAGTAGCCTAGACTGGACTTAAATTCCCTGTCCTCCTTGCCTCTACCTACCAAGTGCTAAGATTACAACTGGGCAATACCAATCCCGACTTGAGAACCCAGTTTTTTATTGTTACATTTTGTGTATTTATCAACTGAGTGCTTTTGTTAGCATGTGCATCAGTGTGTGCTGTTGAGCATATGTGGAAGTCAGAGCAACGTGTGGGAATCAGTTCTTGCCTTCCATCATGTAGGTTCTGGGTTCTAACTTAGGTGGTCAGTTTTTGACAGCAAGCACCTTTATCCACTGAGCCCAAGAACTTACTTGGTTTTAAAAATTTATCTGCATTATTTTTAAATTATGTGTTATGTGTGAGTGTGTTGTGAATAGGTGTCCGCAGAGTCCTGAAGAGGGTTTTGAGTCCCATGTCGCTAGAGTCATACAGGTAGCTGTGGATGCTGGGAATCAAACTCAGGTTCTCTGCTCATGACTTAGAGCCATGTCTCCAGCCCAAGAACCTACTGTGTTTGTTTGTTTCTGAGACAGGGGTTCTCTGTGTAGCCCTGACTGTTCTGCGACTCACTTTCTAGACCAGGCTGGCCTCGAACTGAGAGATTTGCCTGCCTCTGCCTCCTGAGTGCTGCTTTTAAGGGTGTGCACCACCACCACCCAACAAGAACCTGATTTTTTAACGTCCAGCTGATCCTAACGTTTAAGAAGCCCTGATCTTAACATTCTTACTTCTTTTAGGGAGGAAAAAGGAAGAAGAAAGATAAAATTTCTTCAGAAACAGCTAGTTGATGTCAAAAAGGAGCGTCAGATGCAAGTACAGGTAAGACTCACCCGTGAGGACGCCACCAAAGCTGTTGAGCTAAGTACAGGTGAGACTC